ATCATTAGGTCTTACTTCAAAAACCTGTATTCCACAAAATTGGAAAATACAAAGGAAATGGATGATTTTCTTGATAGAGTTCACCTACCAAAGTTAAATCAAGAGTAGGTAAACAGTTTAAACAACCCTACAATGTCTAAGGAAATAGAAGCAGCCATTAAAATCTCCTCTGGCCCAGGGCCAGATGGTTTTAACATGGAATTCTACCAGACTTTCAAAGAAGAGCTGACACCAATACTCCTCACACTATTCCACAAAATAGAAACAGAAGGAACATTACAAAAATCATTGTATGAAACCTCAGTCATCCTGATATCTAAACCACACGAAGACTCAACAATGAAAGACAATTTCAGACCAATTTCGCTAATGAACATTGATGCAAAAATACTCAATAAGATAATTGCAAACTGAATTCAAGAACATATCAAACACATCATTCACCATGATCAAGGAGGCTTCATCCCAGGGATGCAGGTATGATTCAACATATGAAAATCATCAATGTAATCCACCATATAAACAAAATTAAATAAAATATATGATTATCACATTAGATGCAGAAAAGTCTGTGACAAAATCTAATACCCCTTCATGATAAAAGTCTTGGAAAGATCATTGATACAAACTTTTAGCCAACATCAAACTAAATGGAGAGAAACTCAAAGCAATCCCACTAAAATCATGGACAAGACAAGGCTGCTCTCTCTCTCCACATCTCTTCAATATGGTACTAGATGTTCTAGCTAGAGCAATAAGACAACTGAAAGAGTTCAAAGAAAGGGCTTCAAATCAGAAGGAAAGAAGTTAAAGTATCGCTGACAAGAGATGATATGACAGTATACATAAGTGACCCCAAAAATTATACCAGAGACCTCCTGGAGCTGATAAACTCTTTCAGCAAAGTGGTTAGATAGAAGATTAATTTAAAAAAATGAACACAAATGACAAATGGGCTAAGAAAGAAATTAGGGGAACCACATCCTTCAATATGGCCACAAATAATATAAAGTATCTAGGGGTAACTGTAACCAAAGAGGTGAAAGACCCATATAAAAAGAGCTTCAACTCTCTAAAAAAAAAAAAAAAAAATTGAGGAAGATACCAGAAGATGGAAAGATGTCCCATGCTCATGGATTGGTAGGATTAACACAGTAAAAATGGCCCTCTTACCAAAGGCAATCTACAGAATCAATGCAGTCTTCACCAAAATACCAATATAGTTTTTCACATACTTTAAAAGAACAATTCTACACTTCATATGAAAAAAAAATCCAGAATTGCTAAACCAATATTATATAATAATAGAACTTCTGCAATTATCTCCATAGCTGACCTCAAGCTATACTACAGAGCAATAGTAATAAAAACTGCATGGTACTGTCATAGAAATAGGCTGGCTGACCAATGGAATTGAATCAAAGATCCAGAAATAAACCCACACACCTATGCACACCCAATTTTTGACAAAGAAGCCAAAACCATACAACGGAAAAAAGACAGCATCTTCAACAAATGGTGTTGGTCTGACTGGAGGTATTCAAGTAAAAAAAAAAAAAAATGCAAATAGATCCATATTTAACATGTTGCACTAAGCTCAATTCCATGTTGATCAAATACCTCAACATAAAACTATATACACTAAATCTATGATAGGAAAATATGGGTAAGGCCCTTTAACTCATTGGCACAGGGCACAAACTTCCTGAACAGAACATCTTGTTGGTTAGTCTCTAATTTCTACAATTAATAAATGAGACCTCATGAAACTGAAAAGCTTCTGTAAAGCAAAAGATACTATCAATTGAATGAAATGGCAGTCTTCAAATTATGAAAATATCTTCATAAGTCCTACATTCACCCAAGGGCTAATATCTTGAATATATAAAGAACTCAAGAATTTAAACACAAACATACCAAATAATCCCAATTAAAAAATGTGATGCAGAGCTAAATAAGAGAATTCTCAACAGAGGAATCTTGAATGGTGGGGAACCACTTAAAGAAATGTTCAATATCCTTAGTTATCAGGGAAATGAAAATAAAATGACTCTGAGATTCCATCTTACACTTGTCAGAACAGCTAAGATCAAAGACTCAAGTGACAATAGATGCTGGGCAAGGATGTGGAGAAAGGGGAACACTTACCCATTGCTGGTGGGAGTCAAACTTGTACAACCACTTTGGAAATTAATCTGACATTTTCTTAGAAAATTGGGAATAGCCATACTTCAAGATTCAGTTCTACCGCTCCTGGGCATATACCTGAAAAATGTTCTACCATACAACAAGGACTTTTGCTCAACTATTTTCTTAGCAGCTTTACTCATAATAGACAGAAACTGGAAACAACCTAGATGTTCCTCAGCCAAAGAATGGATTAAGAGATTGTGGTACATCTACACAATTGAGTACAATTCAGCTATTCAAAACACGGATATCATGAAACTCCCAGGTGGCTTGTGGAGACTGATGCAGCATGCAAGAACCATGCATGAAGAGGACCCTGATTGGCTGCTCAAGTGTAGCCTCAATCTCAATGTATGCCACCTAGGAAGGAGACCAGGGACTGTCTCTGGCATGAACTCTTTTGCCTGTTGTTCAAGCACTTTCGCTGGGCAAGGCAGCCTTGCCAGGTCACAGAGGAAGAAAATGCAACTAGTCCTAAAGAGACTTGATAGTCTGTGGTCAGTTGATAAGGGAAGCAATCTTCCCCCTCTCTGAGAACTAGGGGACAGGGATAGGGGAAAGAGGGAGGGTGGTACCGAGAGGAGATGTGGGAGGGGCTATAATCAGGATATAAAATGAATAAATTAATAAAAAAATGTAAAACAAAAAAAAAAACAGTTAAAAATCTTAAAACAAATAAATCTTAAAACAAAAAGATACATAAGGAAGTTCTCTTCTCAAGTGTTTTCTAGGTTTCACCATCCACAAGAAGTTAGTGGTCTTCCTTTTAATTGTGCATTAGAGCTATTACAAATTTCTTCATTTGTAACAGCCAAGTGGGGTTAGGGATTTAGCTCAGTGGTAGCGCACTTGCCTAACAAGCACAAGTCCCTGGGTTCAGTCCTCAGCTCTGATAGACTAGGGTCAGATAGAAGGGGAGGAGGACCTTCCCTATCATTGGACTAGGAGAGGGGCATAGGAGAAGAAGAAGAAGGAGGGAGAGTAGGATTGGGAGGGGATGGGGGAGTGGGCTACAGCTGGGATAGAAAGTGAATAAACTGTAATTAATAAAGTAAAAATTAAAAAAGACAAAATAACAAAAAGACCAAAAAAACAAACAAAACAAACAAAAAAACAGCAACAAAAAGTAAAAAAGCAAGGTAACTGAAACAGCCAACTTTTAGCTTTTTATTTAGAATAAACAAACATAAACATACATATATATGTATAGATAGCACTCTACACTCTATCATGCATAATAAAATAAAACATACGTTGTCAACATTTTGTCCAAAAATTTTTGAGAATCCTCATTAAGACTTACAAAACGGTCATTGTAGCTGGCCAGAAGAAAGATGAAGGGAAGGAAGGAGGAAGGAGGAAAATACTTAACCAAATCAAAAGCCATTGAAAGACTATAGAGGCCTATTTTCAGGGCCTCTATTTTACATTTTTGAATTTGCTCAGTCTTGCTAAATATTAATCTTAATAATTCTATCATTTAACAATATATTTCTACATATTACCTTTTGCTTGCAAATGTACTCACCATTACTGCTCATATATTTCAAATTATACAAATGAGAGGTAGTTCCATCACATGAACATACTGCCATAAAATAATAGTTTCCCTTTGCTAAATAAATGACTGCATAAATCTAGACAGTTGCTGAAAACAAATGTTGATGCAAATTAAGAAACACTGGTTGTTATAAACATGTTCTCATATAGTAGATTCATTCCTGTGGCACCAAATGACGAGTGTTGATGTAATCAACTTCTCTAACAGAACTTAGTGTATTATACTCACAGTGTAGCAGAGGAACTGCATTCTGATCACTGAAAGGAGCCAGATGTGGCATGATGTGCAGCCCATCCAATAGCTGTTCCCAGATAATAAGCCTATTTCCTGCTCCAGGAAGTCATGTGCCCCAGGGATTTCTTAGAAATAGATGCTATATCTTTTCATCGAATATAATGGTTGACTATTACACAATTTGCATTCATATTTTTCCTCTGAAGAATTTCTATCCGATGCTTCAGAAATACCTAGGCATATACACACTTATACATCCTGTGTATATACATGCTTCTGTACAGATATGTATAAATTATACATGCAATCTACAGATATGTATAAATATAATGTATATACATTTGCACACATATGTTTGTATATGTGTCAACAAAGAAGACAGATAAACTCTTTTGTTTATTTTACATATTTTAAAAGATGGGCCAGTCCGATAGGGACTGTCTCTGACACTAACTCGGTGGCTGGTTCTTTGATCACCTCTCCCTGAGTGGGGAGCAGCCTTACCAGGCCATAGAAGAAGACAATGCAGCCAGTCCTGATGAGACCTGATAGGCTAGGGTCAGATGGAAGGGGAGGAGGACCTCCCCTATCAGCCTATCAGTGGACTTGGAGAGGGGCATGGGAGGAGATGAGAGAGGGAAGGTGGGATTGGGAGGGAATGAGAGAGAGGAGACAGCTGACCTACAAAGTGAATAAACTGTAATTAATATAAAAAATTAAAAATGAATAAATAAATAAATTGTAGATTTGCTGTATATATATATGAAAGGATGGGCCAGAATAAAGGTATAAAAAAATCTTGTCCAACTTTTAAAATTACAATATCTTAACCTTTGAAAACTTGCCTCCCAAATACACATTTCCAATACACATTTGAAAATTTGCAATAGCATTGAAATTTCATTCTAGGAAATTTAATTTAGCATTGTGTACCATCCAAATTAGCCAAAGCAAAACCACAGGGGAAAGCCACACACAAGAGTCTTCTTTAGAACTGAGAAAAAGTATGACTCACCACAAGGGATTCCTTAATGTGTTAGAACTGTAGGGAGATGGAGCAAGGTCATTTCAGTGGGGAAAAGTTTTACCTGAGGAGAAAAAGAAGATACCAAACCAAATTAATTGCCTACGTGTTTTCAGTTTTCAAGTCTAGAAGTAGACTTTGAAGTTTTGTATTATATATTTAAAGCAACTTCTTTCAAATTTCTAAGTTATAAAGTTAAAAGAAAGAGAACTCACCTGAAGAAAGTACAACAAATTATCACAGAGAACAGAGATAATAAAGAGGTTGGAATTGGTTATGAATGCAATTTTAGTTAATTTTCTGGTCATCAAGAGGGAAGTGATAAACTGTGCTATGGTGGTGTGAATGAGTGATATGTATATGTTCACATGTGTGTCTCTTTGTGTATGTACATGTGTGTTGAAAGAGTTATATATATATCTTCATGCAAAGTATTAGGTATGTAAATCTTACCTACTAATAACATACTGAAAAAATATATTCTTCATTGCCTTTAGATATATGTGGATGCAAGCATGTGTGTCACAAGCCCATACCACACTCAGTGCCGTGTCTCCCACAAAATAATAAGAAGAACCATATTTTTTAGTAGGGCATGGGAAACATGCCTTAATTCCAGCATTTAGGAGACAGAGGAAGGCAGATCTCTGTGAGTTTGAGGCCAGCCTGGTGAACAAAGCAAGTCCAGGTCAGCCAGGCCTTTGTTACACAGAAAAAACCCTCTCAAAAAAAAATCATTTTCTGACTTAAAATGGAGCCAGGTTTCCACTTGAAAACTTACTATATTAAACAATGATTTGCCATAAGATCAGGCATGTAATATTCACAAACTGAAAGAATTGTTAAACCTGCTTGGGAAAGTTATTTCACATAATTCCTAAATTCTATTTTCTTTTTTTTTAATTTTATTTTTCTTTTTAGTTACATTTTGTTAACTCTGTGTCCCAGCTGTATCCCGGTCCCTCATTCCCTCCCCAACCCTGCACTCCCTCCTTGGTCTCCTCCCTGCCCCTTTCGAAGTCCACTGATAGGGGAGGACCTCCTCCCCTTTCATTTGACCCTGTTTTATCAGGTATCTTCAGGGCTGGCTGCAAAGTCCTCCTCTGTGGCCTAACAGACTGCTCCTCCTCTGGGGGGGGGGGGGTCAAACAGCCTGCCCTTGAGATCCTGTTAGAAATAGTCCTTGTTCCCCTTACTTTGGAAAACTACTTGGTTACTGAGCTACCACGGGCCACATCCGAGCAGAAGTTCTATGTTATATCCATAGATGGTCCTTGGTTGAGTGTCAGTCTCAGAAAAGACCCTGTGCCTGGATATATTTGGTCCTTGTAGAGCTCCTATCCTTTCCATATCATACTAACTTCCCTTCTTTCATATGATTCCCTGCACTCTGCTGAGGGTTTGGTTATGAGTCTTAGTGTCTGCTTTGAAACACTGCTAGGTAGAGTCTTTCAGATGCCTTTTGTGGTAGACTCCTGTCATACGTTCAATGTACATCCCATTTGTCTTTCTAAATGAGGATTGATCATCTTCGCCTGTGTCCACTTTCTTGATTATCTTCTTTAGGTGTGTAGATTTCATTATGTTTATCATATCTTGTAGGTCTATATAAGCAAGTATATACCATGTTTGTCTTTCTCCTTCTGGGATACTTCACTCAGAATGATCTTTTCTAGATCCCACCACTTGCCTGCAAATTTCATGATTTCCTCCTTTTTGATTGCTGAGTAGTATTCCATTGTGTAAAAATACCACAATTTCTGTATCCATTCCTCCGTTGATGGACATCTGGGTTGTTTCCAACTTCTGGCTATTACAAATAAAGCTGCTACAAACATGGTTGAACAAATGTCCTTGTTGTGTACTTGAGCAAATTTTGGGTATATACCTAGGAGTGGTATAGCTGGGTCTTGAGGTAGCACTACTCCTAGTTGTCTGAGAAAGCGCCAGATTGACTTCCAAAGTGGTTGAACCAGTTTACATTCCCACCAGCAGTGGAGGAGGGTTCCCTTTTCTCCTCAACCTCTCCAACATGTGCTATCACTTGAGTTTTTCCATCTTGGCCATTCTGATGGGTGTAAGGTGAAATCTCAGGATCGTTTTGATTTGCATTTCCCTAATGGCTAATGAGGTTGAACATTTCTTTAAGTGTTTCTCTGCCATTCGATGTTCCTCTTTCGAGAATTCTCTATTTAGCTCTGTTCCCCATTTTTTAATTGGATTACTTGGTTTGTTGCTTTTCTGCTTCTTTAGTTCTTTATATATACTGGATATTAGCCCTCTGTCAGATAAAGGGATGGTGAAGATTCTTTCCCAATCTTCAACAAATGGTGCTGGACCAACTGGATGTCTACATGCAGAAAAATGAAAATAGATCCGTATTTATCACCCTGCACAAAACTAAAGTCCAAGTGGATCAAGGACCTCAACATAAAACCAGATACTCTAAATCAGTTGGAAAAAAAAAGTGGGAACAGCCTAGAACTCATTGGCACAGGAGACAACTTCCTGAACAGAACACCAACAGCACAGGCTCTAAGAGCAACAATCAATAAATGGGACCTCATGAAACTGAAAAGCTTCTGTAAAGCAACAGACACTGTCATCAAAACAAATAATTTCTATTTTCTAAAAGATAAATTACAGAAGGCCCTCTTTGCCTAACTCTCTGAGGATTCAGTAAGGTAATGAATAATTTAAAAAATGTGTTACAAATTCCCATTCTGACATGAGGTACTCATCAGGTAACCTGTAGTTTCTCAATAGACAAGCCTAGGACAATACTGGTCTGTTCGATTGTGGTGAGTGCCTGAGCACCCTGTGAGGCTCCAAGGAGGCACTGTCTGCTTCTTGCAGTGTTACAACCAAGTGATGGATGCTGTTCACTTGGGAAGCAAAAGGCTATATTTCTTCCAAGCTTCCAGAAGTCAGACCTCATGTGGCAAAACATGGTTTTCTCTCTCTTAACATTGCAAACTGACTTTGAAGTATGGTTTACCAATCTTCCTTCATCATCACCTACCAATGTAGATTTAGTCATGAAAGAGAAGTTTTTAAAGTAACTTTATTAAATAAATCAGAACAATAAAAAGCAATTTTTCTTCTAGCTTCTCATTATTATTATTGTTATTATTATTATTTGTCTTAAGTGTCTGAGAAAAGGGATTCTATCATTGTTAATGGGATTTATTTTTTTGCTTTTTTCCATGATTTTAAACATGTTGAGTTGTTTTAGCCAGTGTTTTATTGTTGTGAAGAGGCATTGTGTCTTGCTTACAGTTTCAGATGTTTAGTCCATTATCTTCATGGTATCAAGCAGGAAGACATGATGCTGAAGAAGGAGCTGAGATTTCTACATCCAGATCCACAAGCAGCAGGAAGAAGAGAAAACAACTGTGCCTGGCTTGGGCTTCTGAAATCCCTAAGCCCACTCACAGTGACACACTTCCTCTAACAAGGACACACATACTTCAACAAGACTACACCTTCAAATTCTTCTCAAGTAGTACCATGCCCTAATAACCACACATTTAGATATATGAGCCTATGGGGAAGCAGATTTCTGTTTAAACCATCACATGAGTACAATAGCACGAACTTTTACCAATTTTTAGCCCACCCGGCTAGATTTACACAGTCTATAAATACCACCTTTAATTTGATTTATGCTTTTGAAAGAGAGTTTTCTGATTCTCCCTAAAGTCATGAGATATATCATAATATATATCATACATTTAAGAGATATCATAGTATATATAATATATAAACACTGGCTTGTTTTAGACTTTATTACTTAAGCACTTGGTAAAAAGAAAAGGGCTCAGTAGCCTATAAAGACAATTAGTAACAGTTTTACATTATAATTTAAATGTACAAGCAACACTATGCACATAAACCAAAATTAAATTAAGAATAAGGTAATAGCTACTTAAGTGCAATCAAATACTGTATTAATTGATGTAATGTCCTTTGGTGATTCATCTCAAATGTGGTCCTCCACTTTAACTACAGATTAGAATTGCCAGAGGAACTTTCTTTTAAATACTGATTCTTGAGCCCAACTCACAAGAGATTCATATTTTAATTGGTTTTAGGTAAACCATGAATGTCAATATTTCTCAGCATCCCTGAGAGAATCTAATAAGCTATAGACATTGAAACATGATCTTCATGGGGTCTTCTTATACTTACTCTCCAGTTTAGATACCCATCTCTTATAGTAGAAAGGCAGATGACACATGTATCCCTAGTCTTATCAATATGTGCTGAAATATTGACACAAGACCATAGGCTTGAGGTACATCTGCCCATTGCCTCTTTGCTCTTGTGTTTCAGTACAGACAATTTTATGTTGAAAGCAGAATATATATATATCAAGCCTAACCCACTGGAAAACACAATAACACAGGCTGCCCAGATTAACCTCTTTTTTATTAAGATACTCAATGTATCATAGTCCTGTGAAGTTTAACATGCTATGTGCAGCTTAGTGTAATAAGATTCTTAGGACAGAACTAAGACTCAACATCTTTAATTGTTCCTGTAGAGTCTTAGTAATGGATAGTAGTTTGATTTCTATGCAGTTTAGAGAAACCTTGTACATATTATGAAACACAATGCATACATGAATGAGCATTATTCTACTTTGTAATAAAAATACCAATATCATAAATGAGCCATTTTTTCATGGATGTTATACAAAGTACACATTCTTTAATTGTTGTTTGTAATTTGTTTTTAAATATTGATAGTGACTTTACTCAGCTCTTTAAAATTTCAGGTAACCACGAAGAACTTGAAGTGAATAATAAACATTCGTCCTCTAGTATTTAAATTAACTGACATACATTGTTTCCTACAAATGGTTTTGTTCTTTTTTTTAGATATTATAATATAATTACATCATCGCCCCTTCTCTCTTGTACCTCTAAACTCTCCTCTATATCCCTTTCTACTCTCCTCTAGTTTTGTAACTAATTGTTATTGCATGCATAAGCATCGTATTTACTATGGCAACATTGGGCAGAGATTAGATTCAATATTAGGACTTCACAAAATTAAAGG